GCACCGCTGCCACGTGTTCGGCCACTCGCGTACGGAGCTGTCTTCCGGTTTCTCCGACGTAGTTGCTATGTCCGCAACTGCACCAGATCCGATAAACGACTCCAGACGTTTCTAGCCGTGGCAGTGGGTCTTTCGGTTTCATGATCAGACGCCTGATGGTTGCCTCTGGCCTGTGTGCAACTCCAACCCCCAGCGGTGCGAGAAGGCGGCCAACAGCTTCCGAAACGTTCTTGACATATGGAAGCGCTCGCCAAACTTTGGTGTCCCTGCGGTTAGGCCTTTCGTCCATTTTGCGTATGCACCGGTTGACAAAGTTGCTCGGGTAGCCATTGGCTTTGAATACCCGTCGGAGGTATTGTAGTTCAGCAATCTTGTCTTCCGGCTCACTGCAGTGTGTTTCGACACGCCGATAGAGCGTCCTTACACAACTGCGTTTGTGACTGATTGGGTGGTTGCTGTTGAAGTTCAGTACTTGCATCGTATTTGTCGCTTTCCTGAACACTTTGGTCTTTTGTCCACCACAATCCTTGCGGCATACGAGGACATCCAGGAAGGCCAGCTGGTTGTTCTCTTCCTCCTCCATCGTAAATTGTATGTCCGGGAAGACCGCATTCAGACGTTCCTTGAATGTCAGCAGTTGATCTCGATCGATAACGACGAAGGTATCATCCACATACCGGGCCCAGAACGTCGGTTTGTGGTGTTGGAAGACCAGCGACTCTAACCGTTGCAGGACCGCCCCGGCGATGAATCCCGAAATCGGCGAACCCATTGGTGTGCCCTTCACCTGTTCGTAGATTGTCCCGTCGAACGTGAAGTACGTCCTGAGACAGAACTTCAGGAGCTGAAGGACTTGGGCGCGTCCAAGACGATTCTCCGTTTCATCGTATTTGCTTTGCAGAAGCAGCTCGATTGTCTCGATCGCCAGGTCCTGGGGAATAGAAGTAAAAAGGGATGTAACATCAAAAGATACCATGACCTCATTTGGATGGAGGCTTACCCCTTTGAGTTTCTCCAGGAATTCTGCTGACGAAGAGACCGTGGTGTCTGACTCAGCGGTCAGGAACTTGAGACGCCGGAACAGCCACTTAGCCAGTCCGTACGTTGGAGTACCTTTGAGCGACACGATGGGTCGGAGAGGAGCGCCGTCTTTGTGCACCTTAGGGAGGCCATAGAATCGGGCCAAAGCCGTATCTTGGGGTCTCGCCATGCGTCTGTCGGTCGGTGTTATTGCACCTGAGTTCTCCAAGGCCAACAACGTAGCATTGATTTCGCGTGTCAGCGCTTTTACAGGGTTCGTTGCACATGGGACATAGAACTGTCGGTCCTCCAGCAAACCTTTGGCTTTTTGAAGGTAGTCTGTCCTGTCCAGCACAACCGTGGAGCGCCCCTTGTCCGCTGGCACGATGACCAAGTCTTTGTCGGCCTTGAGTTCTCTAAGCGCATCACGTTCGACCTTGGAAAGCACTTCCCGCGGCCTGTGGGCCATTAGGAGAGACGACACTTGGTGTCGGATGAGGCTCTTGGTCTCCTCCGTTGCCTCCGTCTGACTAAGGATTGATTCCACTGCTGCAATCATGTTAACAGGTTTAGCGTCAGTCGTGTTGAATGAAGCTTCGTGCCTTAAAACCTGCATCTGATCCTTCGTCAGCTCCTTTGACGACAGGTTGTGCACCAGTTTGTCGTTTCTGGGCGACGTTGGATTGGGCAGCTTTCGGAATTTGTTCTCCAGTGCTGCGTCGCGTATCATTCTCTGTTCGCGGGCTTGTTCAGCTATCCTCTGCAGGAGCAGATTTGTACCGATCTCACCCATGAACTCACAGCATCTGGTCTTTTCTTGGTCAATCCTTTGACGGTACTTGCGAAGTCTCGCGTGGCAATCTTGGAGGAGCACTCGGATCATCCTTCTGCCATGTTGAAATACTGCCCGTCTCGCCAAATCTGTGTTAACCGGAGGCTTGTATGAAACACATTTCGGCAACACATTATTGTCGAGACACCTGTGCAGAAACCGGAT